ACAGCACTTTGTATTTACTTGAGTCATCTTTGTCTGGTTTTAAAACAGGAAGGCAGAAACTACTTTTCACTGTATACTGTAGAGGTGGGGACATTGTCTTGCACAATGTGTGATATTTTCCTCATTCTACTACTCAAACTCAACACCTGCATGTAATCTTTAACTGAGCTTTGTTTATTACTTACAAATTACTACATTGTCATCCTTTCTTTAGTTAAGACATGTTTCAAAAGATCTTTTTTTTCATTTGACCTTAAAAAAAGTCACCCATGCTTTCATCTCGTCAAATTTGGGCTCTAATAATTCCCACTACTTTGGTCTGAGCCAAAGCAATCAATTATTTCTATGCAATCAATCAATAAGAATTACACACAGAGCAACCTGTTGTAATAAAACTACTATTTCAGCCGACTGTCTCTCTGGTATTCATCTTTGGTTTTCAGTAGCGATACTTCTAAAGATTAGCTACATGTTTATTGTGAGATTTATCTGTTAATGCTTGCAAACTACAGCTAATTAAAATGTAGGATATTATCTCAGTTTGTGTTATGGGAAGACAAATACTGTGCAGTCCCACCTGAACCAGGACACCTGCTCGCCCTAAACAACATGGAGGTTTGTTGAGCTGTACTCAAAGAAATGGGATTACCTTGAGGTACATGCCTCACTTCCCATTCATACATTCTGCATTGAAACTTCAACAACAACAAAAAAAACCCCAAACCTCTTTTGTTGTTTGTTTTTTGAAGGAGTTTAGATTTTTATGCAACTTGTTTAAAGAATGCTACTCGAGATGATCAGAGCATGAGAAGTGCACAGGCATTAGTCCCAGAAGCATATAGTATTATACAAAGACAATGCAGCAAAAAATCAGAACTTACTTGAAACACTTATGCCTCTCCTAAAGTTCTGGTACCCACTGAAGCTGACTCAGAGAAAACTGTGAAGACAGGTGGGTTTTGAAGAGGTTTTGTCATTTGCCTTTTGGACTTTGGTCCACTCACTCCTGGTCTTCTTTCTGTCCTGAATAATTTCCTTCTGTGTGTCCTTTTTCACAGCTTGGCTTACTCAAATTAAAATTCAAAATCTCGTGTCCTGCTTATGATGTTAAAGCTTGTGATATCCTTTTTTCCTCTGTCACCCTCACCTGTTAAATCTGTGCTGGAGCAGATGGATAGTTTGAAAGTGGCTTAGCATCCCGTGAATAGAAACATTATGCAGCAGCACTGTCACTTGGACACCTTTGTGTGACGGAGCAGTATCTAGGGAAGCAGCTGCAAGGATGTCTCAGGGGTATTTCATCATCAGCAGTGTCCTCATGCATAAACAAAGTCACAAGCCTTGGAGTTTCAGGTTGTACGGTAGTTCAAGGGATTTTCCGATCAGTGTTTTTGACCTTGGTTTATGATTTCTCTCTCATTGGTAATATTAGAATTAAGAAAATCTGTTGTTATTCTCATTGAAACATTTATGGGGACTGTTTTTCTTATGTGTTGCAGCAATGTAAAACACAACTGATTGCATTTGGTCTCTTCCTGAAACTAAAATAAGAAATCATTATTTATACCTTTTGGTTGCTCCCAAACTGATCACTTCATCTCTTGTCTTGTTTGTATGTTTTAACAAAGTATAACAAAGGAATTATTTTATTTTATATTAAGCTCATTTCATTCTGGAGGAAAGGTGATGAAGCAAAGGATACCTGTAAGTATTCTGCCCAATCCCAAAGTCCATGATTGTGGATGTTAAGGTGCTTTCCTGGTAAATAAGTAAGTAAGGACTTTTAGGTTTTCCCCACTGTCAAATTATAGAGTGAAAGCTAGTGTGCAATGAGTTGCCGTGTTAGAGGATTGTGCATAAGGATAGGGTGAGATGGAGGCAGATGATCTGCTGCGGCAACCCTTATTGGAAGAAGCTGAAAGAAGAAGAAAAAAGGTGGCTATTAATATTTTGAGCCCATTTTGGGGTATTTTCTATATGCATGCATTCCTGGAAACTATAGATTTATCCACTGTTAATATAGGGAAAGACCATAAAAAGGTATTAAATATATCTCTAGAAGGAGAATCTGCATATTACAAGAAAAAAGTCTTTATATAAAAGTGCAAACACATGTTTGTTTTAAAATTAACCAGCTTCTAGTGGCTGTATGAGCACATAAAATGCATGTTGGTTTAGTCATTCTTAGATATGTTGAAAGTGTCGCCCTTAGAAACCTAAAGTAAAGAGGGTTTTTTTTAACATTGAGCATGTGATGTATTTAAATTGTATATTGGATATAGACACCTTGATGCCACCCAAAACCTTCTGTGAATCCTTCTGTGAAAATATACCTCTTGGTGCTTTAAAATTGGATGTCATGAACACAGTCTGTGTTTCACTTTTATCAAGAACACCGCACACCTGAGGAACTTGTAGTATCAACATGTATATGGGCTTACCCTACCTCCCTAAGATGAATATTATGTTGTATCCAGTAAGATTTTAAACTAGCTAGAGTCCATAAATTTATCAGGAAAGTTTTTTCTGAGATCATATATCAATGGACTTAAAGCAGAGGTCTCAAACTTGCAGCCTGTATATTGACGTGAAGAAATATATAGCAATTTGGCACTTCAAGTTACCTTTTTAAGGAGGATTTGTTCGCTGCTGAGTGCAATGCTGAAGTAAGTTCTTTAAAAAGCAAAAATATGAGCACAGTACAAACACGTTGAGGGATTGGCCGTGTTAGTTCAGTGAGAGTTATTTGTAAAGAAAACAATTTTCACTAGTAGTCAAAAACCAATGTGTACACACATGTCTGCATTTTTTTTGTTAAATAAGAACAAAATTATAGCATAAGTGCTGCCACGTGTCTGACCAGAAAGAGAGTGAATGGAAAAAATTGCATTCACGTTTACAGTTTTGTCTTGTTATACAAGATTTGAAATGTAAAAAAATCACAAAACAAACCCCAAAACAAAACACTACACACAGAACAGATCCAACACGGAAGCGAAATGTACGTGGCAATAACTTATTACAAAGGGTGAAGCCGTGAAAACACTAGTGCGAAGAGAGAGAAAACAGGATTAGTACAAGTATTTAGCGAGAGCAACCCCCCCAAAACAAAACACGTGCCATTATTTTTTGTACTCCGTGAACACTAAAGTGGCCCCCCAATGAGATGAAAGTGCCAGCAGTGCCCCACGGCTCACTTAAGTTTGAGACCTCTCATTTAAAGGGTTCTGTACAGCTGGACTTCTCTTTGGGAATCAGAGTTTCCCCTCTGGTGGACAATATATAGAATGCAGGCTGATGGCTTTAAAATTCAGGCCTGGTCTACCCGCATCTGTTACATGGAGTCATGCAGTACAATTCGTTATCTAACCCAAACTAATTTAATTTGAATACGTAATCCTTGTCAAACTAAATGAAAAACTAAACAATGGATTCAAAATATGTAAAATGAAACACTTTTTTTGAAGATACAACTTGAGATATAAGCTTAATGTCATCTTACAATGACAGCTTTTCTTTATGGAAACATATTTTATAGTAGATGATTAAAACCTCCAAGTGTACTAGAAATGTTTAAATACCCTAAAGAAAAACTCAGCAACTTCTTATTTTTTCTCGGCAGAAAAAAATAAAAGACAAAAAAACATCTTCAAAGCATGCTAACATGCCATCTTTCACCATTTTTCCATTTGGGCAATTAAATTTTCATGTTTGGCACACATGTGTTAATTGTTGAGAACTTTTGCTACAATATTACATAATTTGGGTCTTGATCCGGTTTTTTGACCACCCACTGTAGATCAAAGGAAAAAGAGTTTCCAAGGCAGTGTGAAGCAGCTGACCCAAGTACGAAGGTTCCAATAATTAACATGGTGCCTCAGCTGATGGTGCATTAGTCACGAAGACCCGAAAATTACATAATGTGTCAGGTGGATAGCCTCACAAAGTGAAAAGTATAGACCACCACTGTGAAGACTGAGGACTGGGTATACTTACTGCAATAAAATTTGAATCCCAAGAAACCTTTGGCTGTCTGATAGGAAGCCAAAAACTGCAGACATATTTAAGCAAGGAAAAATTAATATCTGATTTTATGTGGGTTTTAGAGGTTTTTGTTTATGTTTTTAAGCACTTTTGGCTAAGGCTTACTAAAGTTATGCAAGTGATTTTACAAAATACACTCACTGGCCACTTCATTAGGTGCACATACATTTGCCTTTACAACTGCCTTCATTCTTTATGGCATAGGTTCAACAATGTGCTGAAAACAATCCTCTGATATTTTGGTCCATAATGACATGATGCCAGATTTATCAGCTGCACGTACATAATGTGAATCTCTTGTTCCAACACATCCCAAATGTATTCTATTGAATTAAGATCTCATCATGTTCAAGAAACCAGTTTAACAGGATTTAAGGATTTGTGATATGGCACATTATTCTGCAGAAAGTAACTATCAGATGATGAGCAAACTGTGGGCACAATGGTCAGCAACAATACTTTGCCATTTGTTCATTTGTTACCAAAGTGTGCCAGGAAAATCTCCCACACCATTACACCATCAGCAGCCTGAACTGTTAATACAAACCAGTATGGAGCCATGCTTTCATGTTGCTTACCCCAAATTCTGACCCTATTATCTAAATGTCACGGCAGAAACTGAGATACAACAGGGAACTTGTTTCAAATCTTCTGTTTTCCAGTTTTGGTATGCCACTGACAGTTATAGCCTCAGTTTCCTGTTCTTACACAACTGGAATGGCACCCAGTGTGGTCTTCTGCTGTTTTAAGGTTTAATGTGATGTGCATTCAGACCTGGTTTTGTTGTATATTAGTTTAGCTTTCAGCCATAAATCAGCAACACTACAACAAACGTACTTGCTCAGGGTTTTGGTTTATTGACGTTAATTATTTCTTGGATAGCCTGTATGGCAGACAGACCCAGAACGAAAATCTATGCGGAACCTTTTGTCATGAGCGGGTCTGGCTGACCGCTGCGGTGCAACCGGATGTAGCTGAACGAGAGATCCGGTTGCAGGGAGCTCGGAAGCTAACGTCGAGCAGAGAGTCAAAATCGTAACATTTTGAGAGTTTTCCACGCTGTACTTTGATAACGCCAAAGAACAGAGATGATTAAAGCCATATTAATTTTTAACAACCACGGGAAGCCGCGGCTGATCAGATTCTATCAGTATTTTGTGAGTATTGTAGCAAATACTGCTGAAACAATTTGTTTACCTTACAATCTGTATTTGATTAGCGTTTGTGACCTTTCGTGTAATGAGCAGCACCACATATATTTCAGAGATCCTGACATATTATGAGATATTTTCCTGTAGCCAAGTAAAACTATTAGCGGATCACGTGAGCAAGAAAGGGAACACACTTGGAGCTCAGTCACTCTTCAGTTTTACTTCCTTTCTATTAAAATAGACCTCTCTCTATATAAAGGTATATAGGCGTTATATAATGAAGGAGCAGCTATCTGTGAAGATAAATCCACTTAAATCGTACATATGTATGTATTAGCCGGACTATCTGTCCTGAAATCACTGACTTTGCTTCATCCTTGTCTGTTTAATTACATAACATACCACATAAATAAATGGTTTTACCAGGAGAACTCTTTTATCATAGTTATCATAGTTATCAAAACTCATTTAAAAACGGCGGCTGTGCTTCAGTGACTGCAGATTTGTCTGTAAGTAGGTTTATTTAATTTGTTTACTGTATAATAGAAATCAAGTAGACTTGCCTCTAAAACATATGATGTGGGTTTATATCATCTTATATATTTTTATTTATAAATATAAAAATTATGACAGTATGGAGTGTACTTTAGTCATGGGAAAGGAATTAGGATTTTATTATGCCCAGTGTATACAAGTCATTGCTTATTTATCTGGTGTCATTTACCCTAACATCATTTTGCTAATATGTGCTAATATCACAAAAAATAATATCTTAAACACACGATGTAGACTAAAGGCAACAGGTGTATATGTGTGTAAGCAGTGTGTAGGATGTAAGCTATATGCTTAGAGGGATCTTTCCGTATCTACAGTTTGTATTCCATTCAAGTGTTTCTTGGATGCAAAGTGGTTTTAAAGAAAGTAACCAATTAACTCTAAGTAGGCTTGCATGCAAATTTTATATAAAGTCAGCAAGCACAAGGCTTAGGTGATTTGTCTTAGGTTCATATTCCTATTTTAAGGTTCATAATTCAATTAAAATGTATCTATATAATGACAATTTACAGCATCAGGCAGCTCAAGACACTTCATACTGCAAGGTAAAGACCCCAACGTTAAGACAATTCCTATTAGTAAGCGCTTGGCAACACTGGGAAGAGGGCGATCACTTTTAACATTTAAATGACATCAAAGTTGCTGACAGCTGCAGGGAACACGAGGAATAAAGTTACTCCTCATGATCTATTTACTTACTGATGTACATAAGAGAATGAACCTCAGTGAGCTATCAGGTTACTGAGGTTCACAGGCTTTTCCTGGAGTGATGACATTATTTTAGAGAAAATTGATTAGTCAGTGTGAGGTAGTTTTGTGTGTGTTCATGAGTTATTACAAAGTGAGCCACCTTCCTATCAGGTTTTAACCCCACAGGGGTTAAAACCTGAAGTTACCTGGCTAAATCCCTAATCCTTCCATGAAGTGTAGGCCTCTGCTCCACTCTTTAAACCAACTGATGGCGTCTCTAAATAGTCATGTGCATTTTTTTCTCCATTATTTTATATTGATAAAACTTATTGTATAGGACAGCAAATATATCAAATCTGTGATGGAGCAATATTGGCTAACCGATATATTGTTCAGGTCCTACTGTAGAGGTTTTACTTCTTAACGTGGTTAAAAATAAGTAAAAGTCTAAGTAATGCGTTATTGGCAAATATATTTAGACTTTTTAAAATTAATTTCTATTTATTTATTTTGACAATTATGGAGTTAATGGAGTTTGTAACGTATTTGCTTGCAGGCGGAGGACATGCAGCAGCAGATCATTCGGGAGACTTTTCATTTGGTATCTAAAAGAGATGACAACGTCTGCAACTTCTTGGAGGGTGGAAGGTAAGTCAGGTGTTCTTTTATGCAATTCTGTTTGTATCACAGGTTACAATAAAACAAATCCTCTATATATGCATGTGTGTACTCTAAGTACAGCTATAAATGATAAGGTTGTTACTGCTTAGCTAGGCACAGCTGTCACAAAAGCTGGTTTAATAGATCTCTGTCAGAGTGTCTTGATACATGCTCACCTGGGATCTCTGTCAGAGGCAGAGAGGCACACTTGTTGTTTGACTAGTTGTGTGTTGTCACATTTTAATTCGACAAATACTAACTGTTGTAAATCCTGAGTCAGGTTTGGGCATTCTGACATTACTTTACAGCAGCTGTGGATGCAGTGGTCTAGCTTTAACCACTAGATGGAGACAAATATTCAAAAGTCTCCATCATATCTTTCAAGTGAATTAACAGCAAACAAGTTTAGTCTATTTCAGAATGAAGCTACTCCTGAATGCCTTTTGAAGTTGTTCTTTTTTTAATCTGCTTTCAGTCTCATTGGTGGCTCTGACTACAAGCTGATTTACCGACACTACGCCACTCTATACTTTGTTTTTTGTGTCGACTCATCGGAGAGCGAGCTCGGCATATTGGACCTGATCCAGGTCAGCTGCTCTTTTGTTGAATGGCTCTTTGGAAATATTTGACATGGAATCACACAACCACTACACCAGGCTTGTAAAGCAGACACTTGACCCTGGAGCAAAAAGTACAATTGCAGGGTGTCTACTGGTCCTTAAATACACAAATATCCATTAAAGGCCTTAGGAGTATTAACTCTCAAGCATTCAAACTATTCTAGTTACAAAAATGACCAGGTGGGATCATTCGTCAGTTTCAGTTTCTGTTTAGAATACATATGTTCTTTTCCTTATCTATAATATATATTCTAAAATATTCTAAAAAATTAATTCTGGTTTTCAGTCATAAGGGTAAGAGTTATCAGTGTTGAATACTGTGCCATGAGACTTGAGGTGGGTTCTGGCAGGTTTATAAGAGGTGCCAAATTTAACGAATTATCATTTTATCTTCACACGGACAATTTCCAGCTTAGGTGAAATGATGAATGATAGCTGTGAGTGTGTTATGTAAAACAATCTAGTAATGGATGGGAAGAAGTAAATATCGCTTTTCTTCACATTTAAACTATCAACACATGTGACTAATTGGTGTTTTATTGTGAAAATACTGACTGCAAGAAAGATGAAAACAAATTAGTTGCGACTGTGTTTCAACCAGTTTGCTTCTTTGGTGAGTCAATCAGTGAAAACTCAGTCAACAGCCTGAAAGAATAATATTGAAGATTTTTAAACCGAAATGACAAAGTCAAAACCTAAAACAACTTAGGCCAACAAAATAAATGCAATGTAACAAAACAGCT